CCTTTTTGTCTTGGGATGGGTCTGGGTTCAGCTTTACATCTCCAAACTTGGGTTGAGCTGGAGGCAAATTGGGTGAGGAATGCTGTCTTTTGTCCAAAACTCACCTGCTGAGTAACAATCTTACCACCAGAGTATGGATCATCTGTAAACATGCCGCCTTTGCAATCGCAAGGGTTTCCAAACAGTGTGAGGTATAGTTGACCTTTAGGCGGTGGGTGAAATCGGCAAAAGGCTCATTGGCTCCCTGCTTAAGATTAGTAAGAGAGGCACTTGCATCGTCCTTGAATGGCAGTTTTTTCCAAGCTTTAGAGGCAGCGGACTGAATCTGGGCGTACGCTCTGGCGTCAAGGCACATCTGCTCCTCGGCGGAAGCATAACGTCCTTTCCCCATTAGCATGTCAAAATTGATCGGACTGCCGGCCTGTAGGTTACGCTTGGCCATTTCTTTGTAATTTTTATTAAACTCTGATTGCCATAAAAGAAAGTCACCACTCGAAAGAGTGGCTCTACGTAACATATGCCAATCGCTGGGCAAAAGCCAAAGATCAGCAACAGAGTCAAGAATGGCAACAGTATAGGGGGCAGTAGCACCATATTGGGTCACTGCAGTTTTAAGTTCTTTAAGAACCTTAAAATCAAAACCAGAGTGGGTGCGGACCAAACGTCCCTAGGCATCAGTAGACTCGCAAATTGGAAAAGCCTCAAAGTCTAACAAGGCAGAGGGTCCGCCAGGGCGAACAGAAGATTTCTGAGAGTCACCAATAAGCGGCGGTGCATCTATATCAATTAAGATGGAAGTATGATCCTGCCGCGCAGTGGGCCAGGAGACAAAGCCACCAGTAGGTGGTGTCGAAGAAACGCAGCAGGAGCCAGGCTGATTGTGGTGACAAGAATTTTTTAGTCGGAGTTCTTTAAGAAGAATAATAAGGTCTTGGTGTTCTTTTTCTAAAGCGATCTGAGACTTAAGGAATTGTATCCTAGACTTTAGTTCTGCCTGGGAATCAAAAGCCGGGAAAACGGTAGGAGGAGCAGCGGGAAAAGGTGGGGGACAATCTGGAATGTGATATTGAGCGGCTTGTTGCGCTAAATCATCCCAGTCAATGTTATTAGAACGCACTATAAGCTCTGGGGGCTTTGGCAAATCGGGGTAAATTTTGCTATACGGTTTAGTAGCCACAGTGTCAGCGGGGGTAACTGTATTCAAAATGGCCGAAGAGGCTGCACCCCCTATAGGCTTCTTCACCGGTTGGGAAGAAGTTCTTTGTTCTCCGCCATCTTTGTCTGCAAGCTCTGAGCCATCTTGAGCTGGCGCCTGATTCATCTCCCCATCACCGTCACTATTGAAGGACATAAGGTCCTCTTGTTGTTTGGGGGCATCTGAACTAGTTTGAGTGGATGGTTTATTGGCCGAAGCAGAGACTGAGGGATTAGAGTCCACTTGGAGGATCTTTTCACCCTTCTGAATCATAGAGGCAACCTGGGGATCTCGAGACTTTTGGGATAAGAGTTCATCTATCAGATTCCAGTAAGCAAAAAGAGTCACAGGGACGGTTTTGGGCCCCAAAACATCATAGTAGTCTTTTAAAGCATTGCCCACCCGTTTCCAATGCTTGGAGTCGATAGTACCTTCCAAGGGAAACCAGGGGCAGACCTCCTTTATATATGCAAAATATTTAGACAAATCTTTACCTTTAACCTTTACTCCTCGTGCCCTGAGAGCTTCTTCTAAGCCTTGAAGAAACATTTCATGTTCACTAATTGCCTGTCCCATAATGAATCACCGGTCAGTTACCGAGGGGACGCGAAGCGGCAGGCTCCCGCGACGAGTCAACCTCCTGAGGAGAGGGTGCTGGCCAGGCTGACGACCGGTGTTCCTCACTAGATCCCCCGTGCCAGAGCACCACGTTGGGCGCCACTTGACCCTACCCACGGGTTAGTCAACGAGGACCCTGGAAGGGAAGTGGGGATGAAATAGGGACAGGAGACACGAGAAATGGAGGCAAGACAAAGATTCTGATCAAGCCCCGTTTATTCAAGGAAGTCTCAGAGAATTTGTAGGAAGCGGGGAAGAAAAGGCAGGAGTGGTTACACATCATCAGGTTGTTAGGCACTGGGGGGTGGTCTCTAGGGTGGAGATCAGGCATGTGACTTCTGGGAAATGGCTTGGAGGGGAAACAGAAACTTAGCTCTGGGAAGGTCACAAGACAACAGATCTAATGCAGCAGTCTGTGGTATGAGGCCAAGCATTGGTCTCCCACAGGTAACTTCCCAATAGGAGTTAGAGTTTCAATATATGAATTTTAAGAGAACATGAGCATTGATTTCATAATAGCTTTCTTATAGCTTAACAACAAAAGGAAAGAAAAAGAAGACACAAAGTTCTGTTTTTCATGGAGCTCAGAGATTTGGGCACATATACAATAACTACTAACAGAAAAAGTAAGTAGACATCTAGTACAGTAGGAGATATATGTATTATAGAAAAGGAGACATAAAATACAGTAGTAAATTGTGTGAGTGTGAGGTACTGGTAGCAGGTACAGTGATTACTGAGGGGCCAGCAAGATAGCTCAGTGGACTAAAGCACCTGCTTATGAAAGCTTAGGCAAGCACAGGGACCGTGGTTCAACCCCGGCACCACACGCCATGCTGGCCCTGCCCACAGGGCAGGCTGAGCAGGCCAGAGTTGAGGAACACCTGTAATCTCAGCTGTGGGGAGGCTGCAAAAGGAGGATCACCATGAGTCTCAGCTGTGTAGTAAGAACCTGTAACAACCAAGTACATTAAAAAAATTACTGAATATGATATTGAAGACCAGCCACACTTATACAGTAAGATCAGACCAAAATCGTGCTTGGGATAAAACCCCAGAAATTACTATTCTATCATTCTAGACAAAGGGAATAGTTAAGAAACTGGTGTGACTGGAGGGAACCTTGGGAAATATTAGGACCACAGGTGATTTATTAAATTATTTAAGCAGGACTCCTTAAATTTAAAATTTGTATGAAGATGCATTATTAACATTCTTATCATGTGTTCTTTGCCCAAGGAAAAACATGATTTTTCACAAAAAGAGAATACACATTAAAATGCTTTCAAGTTTTTATATGAAGCATTTATTGTACTGAAAATTCAAACTTTGCTTATTCTTTTGTACACCTTGATACACTTAAAAGATCAGAGCAGGATAATTCCTTCAAACAGGTGAAGAACATTTACTTTTGTTCAGAGTAGAAAGACCTATGAAATAGTGTTCTGTGCTGTGGTGCTCTAGGCGGAGTTCAGGTTCCTGTGATTGCTCCTCAAGAGCTGGATGCCTGAACTGCTTCACAGGTCACGGCATATTTTTCAGTCGTCTGTGGGTTGTTGACATCTTTCAGGATCCTTGCAGCACATGTTCAGTGGGTGTCTTTCACCATATAAGTGACACATATTAAATTTCAGTTTGGAACCAAGTGACTGGAGTCTCACCAAGCAGTGGACAGTTCACATCTGATCTACATGAGTCTCTGGTCTTTTAATTTTAACTAAGTCTTTGTGATGTTAGGTTACTACTACTACTGCATAAGGAGCACGTTTAATTAAAATTATTCTAATTATTTTTATCATTGCTAGCACACTAGTGAGAAAAACAAAAATAATATGAGATCTTTCATGACTTCTGGTGGTCTATGAAATTCGCCATTACTTCCTCAGGAAGACACTCAAACAGCCAGCTCTGCACACTGGCAGACTCCAGTGCGGATGTTCCTGTCCCTTTCACTGCATTTTTGACAATGAAATTTAAGATTTTTTTAAAGGATGGGAACTGTTTTCCTTGCATTTTCTTATAATGCAGAAGACTTGTATCCAGTTGCCATCCAAGAAGGTAGAGTTTATGTGCAGGGTGGAGAATCACAATGGAAAAAAATAATAATGGATTTTTGAAATCTCCATTTATCCTACAGAGATTTATTCATTTATTTGCTCTAAAGCCTTTAGATAACTTTTATGGGAAGAAATACTAGGGACCAGCCCAATAGCTCAGCAGGTTAAAGCACCTGCAAGCAGGCACAGGGGCTGAGAGGTTCAGCCCCTGGGCCTGCTCCACCCCCAGGGTGCACTGAGACTGCTGTTGAGACTGAGCTTGGTGGCACACACCTGTAATCAAAGCTCTTGGGAGGCTGTACACAGGCAGATCACTATGAGTCCAATCTAGTAGTGGGAATCTGAACACCCTGTAGACCCTTCTCTAAAATACAAAAAAGAGAGAGAGAAAAAAGAAAAGAAAGGAATAGTATGCTGAACTTATAATGCCAGAAACATATTTCATAATTTCCCTCAAAATACCTATGCCAATTTCTGTATGATAGTACCTATGTTCAGTAAAGTCACATTAAAAGAGGAGGTCCATGTAGAATGTGTAGTAAACTGTATCATACGAAGCGATCAAGCACACAAAACTAATTAATCAATCACAAACCTAGATTTAGATGTGTGCACAAAAAACTAGAAATAATGTACTAACTTAGAAACACTCTCAAAAAAGTTAGAGGCAAGCTTTTAAGCTGTTAGGTGTTCCCAGCACTCTATCCAGTGGTGACTAACCTATACCAGCTGCGCTACAGGCAGTGGGTGTCAATGAAGGCCCTAAACCATCACTTCTCTGTGCAGTGGCACACACACAGTTGTCCGCAGCAACAGTCACCCAGGGGGGGCCTTTCTTACTAAGAAAAAACATGTGAAAACAGCATCCCTGCTTTGGGTCTAGTAATTTCCTGGGGACTCTCTGTGGACATTGTTAGAAACACTACTTTAAAATGAGTTATGAATTCATGATGTTGTATACAATGTGGCATATTGCAACACAAGGACTTTAATCCAGAATTAGGATTGCAGATTACAGAGAATTAAGGAGACTTCAACATTATGTATCTTATCAGAGTCCAAACGAAAGGTGCTTTCCTAGGCACCACTGCAGGGGCACAGATTTGAAGTTCTCTAACTTGTTTAATCTAGAATTTTACAGAGCTCATTCATGGGGAACAGGACCTATTCACCTGAGCAACGAAGTGAGAAAAGAACTCCCAGTGCTTCTCTGCAGCTTATTCTCCTCTTGAGCACATGAGGCAGTCACCTTTTCTTCTCCCCTGGACATAAAGAGGGGTTACGTGTCAAACTTTTACCAACTGCTCCTGACTAGATTAGCAACTCTTGGGTTGGGCAGCACATAAGAGGACAAGAATTAATTCAGGTTGAAAGAAGGTCAACCTTTTCACTCCTATGCTGCGGGCAGCCCAGATGACTTGCATTCAGAGCTGTGTGCACACTGCATCAGCCTTTACAGATGTATGGGTCTGCTCAGGGTTGAAAACTGTCCCAGAGTGGCGGCAAAGAGTTTGATAGTATGGATTTTTCATATGCCAGTTCTGAAATTTGGGGTTTTATGAAGGAGCTCAA